GCGAGAGTGAGAGTGTGAGTGTGTGCGAGAGTGAGAATGTGAGAGTGAGAGGGTTGTGAGCCTGCAAGAGTGAGAGTGTGAGAGAGTGTGAGAGTGTGAGAGGAGTCTCTTATCCTTGGCTTGAGTCTCAGCTCTATGTGGATGTGAATGTTTCTGCTCCAGCCCTTTTGAATCATCACACACCCTGTGAGACGTCAGATGTCACAACACATTATGTCAGAATTAGTCTCTCTCTGCTCTGTTAATAAAGCAGACATGATTTATAACAACAAAAACACTTCAGCCCCAACAGGCACACCGTGACATCACATAACCAAAGAAGGATTTACTGATGAGATCAGCGTGAGGAAATCTAGTTTCACATTGTTGGCCTGGGTACAGTTTGTAAGACGGGTTTGCAAACGTTTTGTAAATTCGATTGATCCATAACACGAGTTTATTGGTAAGTCATGCTTGTGTTGTCCGTTGTTTGAAGATCTGAACTAGTAAGCAAAAGGCTACATATCGATTCATTCGTTTTCTTGATGTAAGCATTAAAAAATCCTTCCAATACAACTTGAAATATAAGTTGTAAATGATTAATTGCTTGTGTTTGTCAAAAAGTTGATCAAACAATACACTGATATGCATATCAACACCGCATCAACAACCTCCTGATTGAAGCCAGTGTTAATCATTCGTTGACGCCCCTCTTTGACCCTCTTAAGGAATGTGTGGATGTTGCTATTCAAGGTGTTTGTATTACTGCACGTTAATGAATAAAGGCTGACCAGCATGAAATGTAGTAAGGAGGGCAGTTTCAGTAAATGAAGGTCAATAAGAATTTACTGTAACTGAGAATGTAACCGTCTAAGGAGTCATTTTTTGTTTGGTGACGCTTTTTCTGAACTCTTATACAGTCGCTATGTTGAATTGAGTTTGGTTTGACTGAAGTTCTGTATCGGTACAAGCTGAGAGATTTGCCACCTTTGGCCTTTTAAGACTAAAGCACACGAGGAATTTCTGAGACTTGTGTTATTACAGGTACTTGTGAAGTTTGTCTGAGCGCTGAATGAAGTCCATGCCCATATTTTCTACTGTATTGTATACTGTAAGATTCCCTAATAACTACATCCTGCAGTTTCCCTGCATACGTCACACGAGAGAAGTCTGATGCTTTCAGGGAAGATACAGTTATGAAATTTGAATTAAACATTACGTGGTCAAAACATCGACCACACTGGCATAAGCAAAACTATCTCGAATCATCAAAAAGAAGTGGAAAGTTTTAAGAGTTCAGTTGATTGCTCAATATATCGTGACACAATGCAGACGGTATATTTTTGATATTTTTCATCATCAGCACTTTAGAATTTTTCATTACACAAATAGAAAAAAGTTAACTTTTAGTTTTTCAGAGTGTTAGAATGTTTAGGCCTGAAAAAGGGAAGTTTAGATGTTAGAATCATGGTTAGTTTAAAAGATAGTTTATAATCTATCACAAAGGTTAACAAAAAGTTAACTGTTGATTAAAATGCTAATTTGGTGTTACATTGTGTGTGTAAATGAATAGTCTTGGACTTGGTGCTGAAACCCAAAGCACAGGACAATAGAGACACCAGAATAACAATATTCATGATTCTGGAGCTGAAAATACTGAATTATTTCAGATAAATATGCTTGTTCTCTGTCACTGACTAGATATATTTATAATAATGTAGGACACTTTTACTGGTAACAAGACATTTGGCATCATCAGGACACACAAATATTCCCAATTGCATTATTATACATTATATTCAACATTATATATAGTAGTTTAATGTAGTACTGACACTAAAATTCTCACACAGTAATTTTTACTTTGGGTGAACTATCATCCACAATACATATTGTCACTACTATGGTCCCCTAAAAGTTGAGTTGGATTTTCTCCTCAGTGTAAAGGTTGAGAGGTCCATCTATCACTGTTTTCCATGTTCGTAGAGTTAGTTTCTGGAGTAAATACAGGTATATTAATAGGCTATAATCTGTGTGCTTACACAGCTTTTTTTAAATGGCGGGTGTTTCGCGTGCGTTCGGCCAATCAGCGTCACTAACGTCACAGATAGTTCCTATAGAGCTGGTTTAGACAGTCTCAGCCTCAGACGTCACGCTCACGAACCGTTGGCTGAACGTCTGATGCATATCAGAGAATGTCTAATTGAAGAGAATTGGCACTGTCTGGTTACTTCCGGTTTCTGGACTGGCTGCAGTAACACTCTCTGTCCATGCGGGGGCGCTCACAGGCGAGTGCAGAATGAATGGGAGTCTATGGGGTTTCACCCCCAGAAATACACTTTTCTCAGGATGTAATTTTTTGTCAAGTAATTTTAAAGTTGCATTCAAAAGGGAGGGCTAAGATAATACACTCAGCTGAAAACTGCATTTTTAAGCTTATCTGTTCTAAAAATCCGTTCAAAAATCACATAATAACAGAATGCTAGCGTGTTCCGGCCAACAACGGCCTAAGCTGTAAGAAATCGAAAGGACATAAGCACTCGTTCATTCGACTTTTGGCCTATAATCTATATTGAACTTGCGGAATCAACAATAAAATCTATGTTGATTTAACGACAAGCAGGAGAAAGAGATACATTTAGCCGTTTAGCTCCATAGACTGAGACTCCCTTTCAGTCTGCACTCGCCCGCGATCTCCTCCAGTGGAGCTCTAATGGAACTGCAACCAAGATGATACACAATCAAGGGGGTACGAGGAAGTGCCAAGGCTCTCCGTTAGACGGGCTCTGTGCATATGAAACACTTTTCTGGAAACACTTCAGGAGTTTCGAAGTCGCGATCTGATTGGTTGAAATCTACAGGATGTCCGGGAGACGTGTGTGTCGCGTTCTTTAACGGTCCGCCTGGAAACAAATGCATGACGGCAAAACCCCTCGTGGAAGAAGCAAGCCGTTGTGTTTACAACTGTGACATTGAGCGCTTACCACGATCAACTAAACGCTGGATTTTCAGAAGTATGTGAAGTTTGCTGCTCCATTGTTGCAGCAAACTTGCACAATGTGCTTGAATGAATAATTGACTAGATGCACACAGCCTGTCTGTTATTGTAGGGACATCTACATTATATTGCCACGCCCCTAAACATGAAGCGGAACAAAATGAACTGTGATTGGTTGCGTTACATGTCCTCTTAGGCGGTCCTTGGACAAGAAAAGCTGCGATAGAGTCCAGACCGACGCGAGACTAGACCGACTCTGAAGTAGGAGCGAAATTAGTTCCTCCAAAGGAGTTCCTACAACTAAAAAGGTTCCTAGTTCCTGCGGTGCGAACACGAACACGCCAGAAAACGGGTACTTCCGCCAATACTTTTAGGAACTATGAAAAGGTTCCTCCAGTGCAAAAGCCCCTAAATAATAGGATGACCATGGCACTATTTCAAAATAAAGGCCTTTATTATCATCAGATGGCTACATACAAAAACATTTTTAAAACTCTCTAACGCGTTTCGGCCCATGCCTTCCTCAGGGAGAGCGACACAACAAACTCAGCAACAGGTGAAAGCATTATTCATTAAGTCATCTGATTGGTTAACAGTTATCATGTGACCAACATCTCTTTACAGCATTTAACATTCACCAATACATTTTATTTCCATACTCAAAAATGAATAACAACATTAGTGCAAAGGTTTTCTGCTGAACTGAATATATAAGGGCGGTTAATCTTAAATCTGTGTGTAATTTAAGAAGATGGGTGCTTATTAATTTAGGTCACATTTCCCCCGGAGCAAAGATGATATGTCCCAATTACGAGCTGTCATCTGTCCTGTGATGAGTGCTGAAACCTGCATACAGGACCAGCATCTACATCAGTCCCGGGTTACACAACAGCATCATACACCAAACCTATAAATCAAGAAAAATAATGTCGAATGTCCAGTCTCAGTCTGAAATGTGTCAGATTACAGAGGTAAAATGTGTGGAATGAACAGCATTTCATGTTTACCTTAAAGGGTTAGTTCAACTAAAAATCTAAATTTGTTGTTCCAAAATCCACAAAGTTCATTGATTTTCAAAACACAAATTAAGATATTTTAATGAAATCTTGGAGGTTTCTTTCCCTCCAATGAAAGTCCATGTCACCAAAACTTTCAAGCTTCAAAAAGTTAATAAAGACACCCTAAACATGGACGTAGAATACGCAGGCGACGTGTCCCATGCATTTTTTAATAAGACGTAAATTCAAGATAGTCAAGACAAGACAGTCTTTGCGTGACCTGGCGCTTTATTCTTATCCAGAACGCGGCAATGTATCCATTACGGAGCGCTAAACACTGGTGTAATGTACTTTTCATTCATAATGGAAGCATTTCATTGCAGAAAGTCCTTATGACGTTCCCGGAAATCCCTTATTTGGACAAAGGCATCCAGGAGAACAATTCGTGACAACAATTCGACAATATATGTGTGTTTTCAAGCCATCTCAGGGTATTTTCATAATAATAAAGTATATGAATGCAGTGCTAATTGACATATCCTTTATTACAGTATATAAACTATATATTTTCATATATTTCGTTCAACTTTCTGCCTTATTCTGTGATAAAAAAGCCTCAAGTGTTAGAGTAGCTTTTTTACATTGTATAAAATCCGTGATGACTTAATGCACAAGTGTTTGTAGTACATAAACCAATCATAAAATTGTCATTAGGAAATATTATTATAATATAATAGATTTGGTTATTGTTCAGCAGTCTATTTGATTTTTTAGCCAGTTAAAAACAAGAGATAAAAAAGAATAAAACCTGTCAATTAGACAAAGATCAGAAAACATGTATTACACTTGACATTTCTGTCCCCCTCACTTCTGAAATGATGGCTAAGCCCCGATTATAAATGTAATCCTTATGAATCTAACAGTTTATGAACCGATTAATTTAGGATTTAATTGAGTAACACACAAACATGGTAAATGTAATCTTGTCTGTGTGTTGAGTCTGTGTGTTGTTTTTCACTCTGCAGAAGAGGCGGAGACGTATAGATCGGAGTATGATCGGCGAACCAACCAATTTTGTCCACACGGCCCACGTAGGATCTGGAGATATCTTCAGTGGCATGAACTCTGTAAGTACAGAGACAATATCATCTTACTGTAGTTCAGATTTCCATTTCTGAGTGACAGTACAATAGATCTCAGTGTACTCTATTTTCATATGGGTGAAAACACTTGATTTGTGTTTGTGATCTATTGATCAACACTGCAAGTCTTGTGCAGTTCCCTTTTGCTTTGCTCTTTCTGAAGTACATGGATGTTTTATGGTATCCATATGGAAATAACAGTTAGAAAGCGGGGACATAAGATGCACTGCACTGCGATTCTGACTTTTTACCTCATAATTGAGTGATTTTAAACTCACGATTCTGACTTTTTACCTCATAATTGAGTGATTTAAACTCACGATTCTGACTTTTTACCTCATAATTGAGTGATTTAAACTCACGATTCTGACTTTTTACCTCATAATTGAGTGATTTAAACTCACGATTCTGACTTTTTACCTCATAATTGAGTGATTTAAACTCACGATTCTGACTTTTTACCTCATAATTGAGTGATTTAAACTCACGATTCTGACTTTTTACCTCATAATTGAGTGATTTAAACTTGCGATTCTGACTTTTTACCTCATAATTGAGTGATATAAACTCGCGATTCTGACTTTTTACCTCATAATTGAGTGATTTAAACTCGCGATTCTGACTTTTTACCTCATAATTGAGTGATTAAACTAGCAATTCTGACTTTTTACCTCATAATTGAGTGATATAAACTCGCAATTCTGACTTTTTACCTCATAATTGAGTGATATAAACTCGCAATTCTGACTTTTTACCTCATAATTGAGTGATATAAACTCGCAATTCTGACTTTTTACCTCATAATTGAGTGATTAAACTCGCAATTCTGACTTTTTACCTCATAATTGAGTGATATAAACTCGCAATTCTGACTTTTTACCGACTTTACTGATTTTTTATTTAATTACTTATTTAATTATAAGTACTTTAAAATTATAAAAAAAATTTAATTAAAATAATTGTATGTTAAGAATTGACTGACTAAATATATCTTCAAAACATAACAAACAAGCAAATAATAAAGAGGAACAAAGAAGCAAGCAATAAACAAAGAGTGCTTTCAGTAGCTAAAAGTGCTTCAATTATCTGAATGTTTTCTGGTCAAGAGATTTTTCTCTTTCTCAGCTTTTCTGCTGTTTGATTATTACTGAAAGCGGTAGATCCAATAGGCCTCATTCACACACATGCACACATCTATTTTGACATATCACATCAGTATGACATATGACACATGACAAGTTTCGTCCTGTCTGTTTAAATCCTTAAAGTCCCCCTGTAGTCAAGAATTGTATCCCTTAAAGCTTATCTTTGATCACCAAAATGACATTTAAAAAAAAAATCCTCGAAAAAAAAAATCTTCATGCCTTAAAATATCTTGAATGTAACTCGACACCCTTGTCTCATTTAGTATTCACGGTTCTATGAATATGCAAATGAGCCCCGCCTCCACTCACTCACTCAGCTCAGAGATCCACTGGTTGACGATCACACGTTGATCTGATTGGTTACAAGGTAGTGTGTGACGTCAGAAACACCAGCGATTTCACACCGTGTTTTTGAGACTGTCTTTGGTTCCCTGCAGTTTAAAGCAGAAAATACTCAGCAATGCTGTCGACTTATGAATTTACACATGGTTTGTCTTAAAGCATATTAAAAACACCACATAGAGATACACAGGGGGACATTAAGACATAACTGACTGTGTTTACATACATTTTGCGTCATAAAATCATTTTGAGATGCAAGTGCAGAGTCGCACACAGGCTCTTTCCGCGAGTGCTCTTCACTAGCGCACATGAGCATTTGAAAGCAGCCGTCTGTTGGAAAGTGAGTTTCATGTATTGAATATATAGACCTGCTGCATTACGGATTAAATGATGTCTTCGTAAAGCATTCTGGGAGGACAACGCTTAAATACCGGCTGACACGCTGGAAATATTGAATGGGGAAAGTAAACATCCTGGCACACTAAAACATACACTGACAAACAAATTGTAACCTGCATTTGTAATTTCAAGATCTACTAACTCTCAAAAATTACTTAAACTTTATACACCCCACAAAAGTGACTTCTTATTTGTCAGGTGGATATGCAGATTAAATAATATTTCTGACTTGCATGAAACCAGTTAATTTGTTCTTACATAAAGCACATTGTTTAGGAATGAACTGTAACATTTTTATTTTAAACATATTGTAATGAAATGAAAAATTCAGGATGCACGTGGCCAAAAAACAGAATTAAAGTTTAGTTAATAGTCAATTAGTTAACTCTGTTCAATAATCAACACTCAAATAATACTCAGTTGTACAAATATTTAAATTATTTAAGGCTTTTTTATATCATCTTTTTAATAATATAATTATGTTTCTACTTCAATTTGATGATGTATCAATGGACCTGCAAATCAATATCAGGATTGGACACCCCTGGTCTAGGCTATATCCGAAATATACCTTCATTATGTAATCCACTGAATGAGCGGATGGAAACGAGTGTGCCGGACTCAGCCCTAGACTTCACTGGTGTCGTAATGATTGGCTCTAAGCTAGTCTGAGTTGGTTTTGCTTTAATCCTGTGTCCAGGTGAACTCAATCCAGAACCAGATGCAGTCTAAAGGAGGGTATGAAGGAGAGGCCATGTCTGTGAACGTGCAGATGCAGCTGGTGGATACAAAAGCAGGATAATGCGTGTTGCTGGCAGGGGTGAGTTAAACACTCTTTACTTTGGACTGTTTGTGGGCTACAGGAACATCATATTTGATTTAATGTTATAAGTTCACAGCCCCTTGTTGCAGATAATTATGGGGTGTTTTTGATCTGGAATCTATGTGTGTGTGTTCACACTTGCCATGTTTGGTTGGATTAAAACAAACTCTGGTGCGATTTCTCTGTCAGTGCGGATCATTTGAATAAGTGTGAACGCTGCCGTCTGAACCCAAACAATCGGATCGAGACGCTGAAAAGATGGATCTTAGTCCGCTTCCAAATAAACTCTGCCGCAGTTCGACTGAAAAATTAACGCAACACAGACCAAAGACATCCAAACAAACCAAAAACAGGACATGATGTCATAAATCGATGAACTTGTGCTTAAAGCTGCAGTCCGTAACTTTCAGCGCTCTAGTGGTTAATAAACAGAACTGCACGTGTGTTGTGGAAGACCATTGTGGCCGGAGTTCCTTCTCTGTGTTTATGTCTGATGAGTCACGCAGGGACCGGATACTCCGCAGCGGTGCGACCCGAACCAGTCTAAAATAGTCCCAATACAAACCCTTATTATAGGTGTACTGTAGTGATTCAGGATAAGACAAAAGCACGGTTTGGAAAATAGATTGATTATGTACTCGCTCATTATATACAATTTTCTAAATTTTTAAAACAAAAAAAGTTACGGACTGCAGCTTTAAAAAACAGATGGAAAACCCCCTAATTTCTCTAACCCCTTTATTCACACTGCACCGTGCCGCTTCGCTAAAGATAGGCGCCGAGTCTATTTCCCACGGACGCCGCGTCCAAGCCGCACAAAATAAAAGGAAAAAAAATAGTCAATTTCAAAATAAACACCCTGTGCAGACTCCATTGTATTGCACACCAATATAGACCCCTTTAGCGCCGACGTCACAGTTACGTCACAGCGTTAGCTGGAGGCAAAACAAACGGACAACTGGAGGCAGCCAATACAAACCAGCACAGATTCGGCTACATAACAACGAGCTTAAATTATTATTATTATTAAATGTCATCTTGTTGTGTTGTTGGGTGCAAGAATCAATGAAAAATGAATATGCTGTATCTGGAATTTTTATTACTAGAAAATATTCACATCATTAACATTGCACCGTAATGTCACTCTTTACATTGTCGTCTTCTCGGCGCTGGCTCGGCAGAACTGCGGATCGCACACACAAGTCTTGTACATGACCATTTAGCACATAGTTATAGCCATCTAAAGATTTATATGCCCTCAGTTTCTCTTTACGCTCGGTTTCTCTATCGGATAGGTGTAGAAGTCAGGACACTCAACCGGAGGTAGCGTTAACGTTAATCCTGTCAGATCGTCCATCCATTGAGTGAGCGTGTACGGGTCAGCCAATCTGGTTCCATCCGTTAAAATTAACTTTTGTAAATAACAATCGCGGTCCTGGACACTGAGTGACCTTACACATTAAGATAAAATCGGATTTTCTCCAGTCATTGTTAAAAAAACAAGCTAACAAAACTTGCAAACTAGCGTTAGGGAAGCGGCCAGAGGGATCGTTCTGCCTCCACCTAAGCTCCGCCCACAGAAAACCGCCACCATGTTTACCAACTAAAAAGGGGTCTATATCCTTGGTAGAAACCATAGACTGTACGGTAGAAACCCAAAAATCAAGAAAAACCCTGTCGGACTGGCAAATTATATAATTTCAAATATTCGTTCCTTTCTTCCTTTGATTTCTGCTCCAAGAAACTGGTACCGTCCAATAGTTTGCATTTGGAGCGGCGTTCTGCGCTAAAGGCACACTTCCTCTTCTTCTATGTGATTGCTGAAATCTCACTAGATTATTAGTCCTTGTTCTTCTGTAAGGTAGTATCACTTATATTGTGCCATATTATATTTTGCTACTGAAACATAATAAAAAGTAACAAGTTGTCTGCTCATAAAGCTCTCTCTCTCTCTCTCCTATATATATATACTGTATACACTCACCTAAAGGATTATTAGGAACACCATACTAATACTGTGTTTGACCCGCTTTCGCCTTCAGAACTGCCTTAATTCTACGTGGCATTGATTCAACAAGGTGCTGAAAGCATTCTTTAGAAATGTTGGCCCATATTGATAGGATAGCATCTTGCAGTTGATGGAGATTTGTGGGATGTACATCCAGGGCACGAAGCTCCCGTTCCACCACATCCCAAAGATGCTCTATTGGGTTGAGATCTGGTGACTGTGGGGGCCATTTTAGTACAGTGAGCTCATTGTCATGTTCAAGAAACCAATTTGAAATGATCCGAGCTTCGTGACATGGTGCATTATCCTGCTGGAAGTAGCCATCAGAGGATGGGTACATGGTGGCCATAAAGGGATGGACATGGTCAGAAACAATGCTCAGGTAGGCCGTGGCATTTAAACGATGGCCAATTGGCACTAAGGGGCCTAAAGTGTGCCAAGAAAACATCCCCCACACCATTACACCACCACCACCAGCCTGCACAGTGGTAACAAGGCATGATGGATCCATGTTCTCATTCTGTTTACGCCAAATTCTGACTCTACCATCTGAATGTCTCAACAGAAATCAAGACTCATCAGACCAGGCAACATTTTTCCAGTCTTCAACTGTCCAATTTTGGTGAGCTCTTGCAAATTGTAGCCTCTTTTTCCTATTTGTAGTGGAGATGCGTGGTACCCGGTGGGGTCTTCTGCTGTTGTAGCCCATCCGCCTCAAGGTTGTGCGTGTTGTGGCTTCACAAATGCTTTGCTGCATACCTCGGTTGTAACGAGTGGTTATTTCAGTCAAAGTTGCTCTTCTATCAGCTTGAATCAGTCGGCCCATTCTCCTCTGACCTCTAGCATCAACAAGGCATTTTCGCCCACAGGACTGCCGCATACTGGATGTTTTTCCCTTTTCACACCATTCTTTGTAAACCCTAGAAATGGTTGTGCGTGAAAATCCCAGTAACTGAGCAGATTGTGAAATACTCAGACTGGCCCGTCTGGCACCAACAACCATGCCACGCTCAAAATTGCTTAAATCACCTTTCTTTCCCATTCTGACATTCAGTTTGGAGTTCAGGACCAGGACCACACCCCTAAATTCATTGAAGCAACTGCCATGTGATTGGTTGATTAGATAATTGCATTAATGAGAAATTGAACAGGTGTTCCTAATAATCCTTTAGGTGAGTGTCTATACCAATATTTGGATTGTTATAGAAAGTTCCAGAAAGTTCTCCACACTCCTGGAAAGGTTTAGTGAGTGCTGCTTATAAGCAGCAACGTTTGTTGTATTGGTTGTTCCAATGTTTATCTGGGGTGACCTTTTTCTTTTTAACTCAGTTTTTAAGCAAAAGTTCATCGATTTATGATACAGGAAATCTTTTATTTGAAAAATAGTCAAAAAGTTATAACCCTATTGCTCGAACAAAACATGACACGGAGAGCTCACGAAGAGCCAACTGTGTGTCCACAGAGAACATGACGACATGAGAGCCCGTGGCCGATGAGAAACACGAGCGAACACAACACACACGCGCGGACAGAAGAGTGTAACCGCACACGAACGCGAAACCGCACGCTTACACAACAAGACAGAAGGAGTGTCAGAGCTCTGTCACCGAAACAAGAATAACAGTGACGTGACCAAACCCCCACATCCCTGCAGACCCAGTTCACTGTAATGCTCTGACGCCGGTGTGTGTGATATCTCTTCCTCAGGTTCAGTGATGAGTGATTCCTGCTCCCGCTTCTCTCCATGTGTGCTCGACGGCCGCTCCTCACCTCATTACCCAGCAAACACAGGGACGGTGGTGAAGAGGGACGCCGCACGCCTCATCTCGGACGCTCGCATGCCTACCAGTGCCAGCCCTGCCTCCCTCTGTGCTCTGCTGTAAACCCTTGCTTTCTCATCACACACATCTGTGGGTCTGGACCCAGTCCGAACAGTCGGTCCTGTTCTGTTTGCTCGTGTAAAGACTGCTGTTTGTGTGTGGATTACTCCTCAGCGCGGAGCCGACAGCGATGTTCGTATGACAGTCATCCGCTGCCAAACTGACCAGTCAAGAGCGCTTGTGTTTGAACACGAGCTCAACAAATGCCATCCGTAAGGACATGTGATTGTTACTTTGCTGTTTACAATGTTCCAGTTCTTGTTTTTTTCTGTTCTCATAATAACTGATGTTGAAAGGCATGAGTGGCGTTTCTGCTGTGTCCATGTTACCGTCCCTATAGCTATAGATAGTGTTCAGAATCAGATCAAATGTATAAAAAGCTATTTTAGTTGTAGTGCTCTTTATTGATGTATCTGCAGTTACAGCGGCATCTCAATAGATAAGGTCACAAGACATATGAGGTGAAATTGACCTCGCTCAGGAAAGATGGTACAGTAGATCATGATTAAACCTTTGAGATGCACAATGAGATCCTGTTTCTGTGTGTAAGGGGGCCGAGTGATGGGAAACATGTCAAATGGGAGGTAAAAAACTTTTATTTCAATGCTTTTGCGTTCGCTCGCAAATGTTTTGCGTTTTTTTCCCAAGAAACTTTACGTTGGATTCAAAGCTGGTGATGGGAATGATATGAGATTTGATTTGAGCTAAATCTATATTGCAATGCTTTTGTGAGTTTTTGGGGGAATGCAATATTTTGGTGAGCAAACGCAGATGTTTGATCACTGGCGCGTCCGCTTGATCCAACCGAAGTATTATGGAAATATCACATTGGTACCTTATATACTGAAAGGCCTTCATATTGCAAAGTCACGGTTTAATGATCTACAGAAAAATAGAGAGCTTTGGTGAAAACAAAGATAATATTTAATAACTATAATAGTAATTTCTCAGTAGAAATGACATCAGAAGTGGATAACATTGGTCAAAGACGTACATTTACACACAAACAACAACTTTTTTAGGCGCCATCTTTATTTTTTAGCTTAACTGTCACAGAATGAAAAGCACAGGATTGTGGGATATCAAAAGGAATGAAGGATACATAAATGCTGCCTTCACAAATCGATCAGATGAAGGTCTCAGGAGACAGGAGTGATGCTATCAGTGTTTATTGGGACGTCCTACCTTGGAAAGTGTCGTCCGAACGCAGCATTTATCAGTTTTCAGACGCAGCCACTGATCGAATGTTGAATCTCATGAAACCCATCAAGAAAAAGTCCTTATTAAAATTAAGTCCCCAAATAGTAAGCAGGACAAAATGATATTCTGCATAAAACATTAAGTACATTTTTAGGACTGTGAATGTGCACATTTATAACCTAATCCAGTCACCTCCACACCTTTCACTTCGCATTACCATACTGGGAAACAAATCTGATTTGAATAAGAAAAGAAAAAATTGTGCTTAAATGATGAAAATAATGTCATGTATTCTTTTAATTTTGAGGTGAATGTGAACTTGACCTGGACATGTTTTTGTGAGATTCGTCTCTGGGCTGTTTTCAGGATTAAACGGGAAGTTTAATTAGATTTTCAGATGATTTCAGCCAATCAGTCCAGCCGGTTGTGAACCGTACTTATACCACTGGCTAAAGTTTTCCGAAACCTGATTAAGCCGGTATTGCCAATGTCATGACAAAAGCAAACTTTGTAAAAGTATTAGACAAAAACGTAATTATTTAACAGTATCGTCACATAAACAGTTAAAACTGTATATTTGGGTATCCCATTGATTTTGACCCAGTGTGGTTAGGTTTATGAATTTTCATAAAGGGTAAAATCCTTTTAGTAGTTTGGTATTTTGTGCAATTTAAGGCCTGCTGTGTCATTGTGAATATATTTGCCGGATGAAATGTAGAATCTTGAAACGTCACAAGGTCACATGTACTTAAAATAAATGCAAGTAAATACCCATGTAGGTTTTGACATGGAATGCTAAATGTGTCGGTCCCTGTTAACTGTTGTCGTTTATCAAGTGCTTTACGTTTGTATATATATATATATCTGCACTCTGTTTGCCATAACTCTCCCTTAAATTATTGTCGCTGTTCTGCTCCTGTTGTGTTTTCTTATTTGCTGGCTCAGAAAGCTCACGTCAGTGACTTCAGTGTGAAAACCCCAGAGTCTGCGAAAGAGACGTCCATCAAATCGCCAGATGTTTTCACACTCACTCACTGGATTCCTGCTTGATTTTAAACCGACCCGGGTCTTTCCACACCTTTAAAATACATCTAACATATTTGTCAAATGCTCAGAGCTTTCTCTGCTGTGCAAGTAAGCTGTCCGCCATTTTGGCTCTTTAGTCATTTGGGGTCTTGTTGAGGAAAGACAAGCATTTTTTTAATGTAAACTGAATTTCTGCTAAGTTGTTGCTGCAGTTTGTTTAACAAATGATTTGCATATGATATTGGCGGTGTTCATGTCTCATGAAGGTGTGATGGACTGAAGTGATACTGATGGCAGAAGTCAGAGCGGGTACGTGATGGGATGATAAAGACATTGAGAAGCCCATCTAGTTTTTATTTTATTGCGATGTTATTTAAACTGTGGCCAAAGTGTTGTCAACCAACATGCAATACATGACAATAAATCTACTCTCTGCCTTTGTTTTTTTGTTGTTTTTTTTTACCATGGATGGATTTCAGTATCAGGGACACAAGCTCAGCTTGGTCAATATCAGACGTCAAACTTTTTTCTTTTCTTTTTTTTGGTACCCATGTTATTTTACATTGTGTGTCAACTGATTACCCGATGTGTTCTGTTGAAATAAATATTTTTTACATGCAATGTTACTTGCACAAATTTTTTTGCTCATTTTTACAGACTGAGAAATGTAAATGTGATCATGTGTATTATATAAAATGTCTGCATTTAATATGGTGCATAGTATTATTAATATTAAATGCGGACAAAAAGTGAAACAATTTATCCAAACCATCTATCCGCTTATTACCTCTTTCCCCGCCATTGATGAAATTTTCCATGTTTTCACTGTAGAGTAGGGGGCACTACATTTACATTTAATCATTTAGCAGATGCTTTTATCCAAAGCGACTTACAAATGAGGAGAGCAATCGAATCAATTAAACTAACAATAGGACAACAATATGTAAGTGATGTGATCAGTCCTGGTTAGTCCAGCGCAGCACACATAGCAAGGTTTTTTATTATTATCTATAAATAGAGATATAATAGAAAGTGTTAGTGTTAATGGGTCAAGTGTTGACAAAAAAGATGCATCTTCAGTCGTGAGTGATTTTGGGGGGCACATATATCTAAAGTAATGAATGAAGATATAGGGGTGACTCAGCAGTGATGCTGGAAGGCCTGCAGGAGAGCATTAGTCCAGTCGAGGACAAGCGCTTGGACAAGGAGTTGTGTGGCTCTGATAGGAAGGGCCTGATCCTCCTAATGTTGTATAAGGCAAATCTGCAGGACCGAGCAGTTCTAGCAATATGGTCTGTGAAGTTCAATTGATCATCAATCACAACTGCAAGGTTCCTGGCTGACCTTGATTGAGTTGTGGATGACGAGCCTAGCTGAATGGAGAGGTTGTGCTGAAGTGTTGGGCTGGCCGGGCCCACAAGCTGATCTGTCTTCGCAAGGTTTAGCTGAAGGTGGTGGTCCTTCATCCAGTCAGAGATGTCTGTCAGGCCGGCTGAGATGCGAGCCTCAACCGTCGGATCATCCGGCTGGAATGAGAGGTGGAGTTGTGTGTCATCATCAGCGTAGCGGTGATAGGAAAAGCCATGTTTCTGAGTGACAGATCCTATAGTGATGACATGTAGATGGAGAAGAGAAGTGGTCCCAGCACTGAGCCCTGAGGCACCCCAGTAGCCAGATGTTGAGACCTATGCCCTTCATCTTTAGGATTGACAGGAGGATCTGCTGGGTAACTGTTACAGCAGCAGACAGATTCTGAAGGATGAGTACTGAAGATGAAGCTGCTCTTCCCGTCTCAGAGCTTCAGTAACCAAGAGCAGGGCCGTCTCAGTTGAGGGACCTCTCTGAAACCAGACTGGTGGTTGTTCTGTGTGAGAAAGGCAGAGATTTGGTTGAACACGACTCGTTCAAGTGCTTTAACAATGAATGGAAGAAGGGATACTTGTCTGTAGTTTCCTAGCTGTGCTGGGTTGTGTTTCTTAAGCAGTGGGGTTACCCGACCAGTGTGAAGAGAAGTGTTGATGATATGAGTGAGTGCGGGACAACTGAAGAAGAACTGTCTTGAAGGAGAGGAGTGGGGATCAAGAGGACAGGTAGTAGGGTGAGTTTGGAGACTTCTGCCTCTGAGAGCGGAGAGAAGGAGGGGAGTGTGTGTGTGTGTGCTGTTAAGATGTGTGTGTCATCTTCTGAAAGAGTACAGAATCTCCAGATCAAAGGACACGTGAAGAAGAAGCAGAAACAAGCAATGAAAGCATTGCGTATGCACGATTTAGTCTCGATTAGTCTAATAAAGTGATTTTCTCAGCTTTTTGTTCAAAATGTTGATTTTTTATGAAACTTATCCACATTAAGTGTTCATAAAAAAAGAACGCATGAATCTGAATTAAAGCGATCAATCATGAGAAAGCATGTATTTATCTGCTTTTCTTTTCTTTCTTTTTCTTTTTAGTATTCAGACTGTAAACTTAAAACACAGGCAGCAGCAAAACAGCCATAATAAGGCAAACATCACACTCCTGATTCTCATGTACTGGGACAAGAAGTGCTGCATTTATATGATCAAGATACAGTAATATTGTGAAATATTATCACAATTTAAAATAGCGGTTTTCTATGTAAATATATAGGCCAGTAAAGTGTAATGTATTCCTGTGATCAAAGCTGAGTTTTCAGCATCATTACTCCAGTCTCCAGTGTCACATGATCCTTCAGAAATCACTCTGATTTGATGATTTTATGTTCAAGAAACATTTCTTAAACCGTGTGGTACATTTGTGTGAAGAACATTCTAGTAATAAACTAATTTCAAAGTAGTTACTACTTTCAGCAGTTATGCAGCATATTTCTGCCTCATCTCTCAGGATACACTGTTGAAGGTGGGTGTGATGCTCTCTTGAGTGTTGTCTCTGTAGTGACCTGAGGTTAGATAGCGAACACGTGACACACTGACCCAACAGCAACATACCCATAAACCGTCCACATTAGTGACATTAGTGTTTGCAGCAGAACAAGGTCAAAGGGTGTGGAATATGGACATTAGGCATTTGCGTATAAAAATAACACAACATTACACCAGACTACAAATAAATATTAATACAATAAAAAGTTGAGCTCTCCATGGCATACACTTCACATGTCTCCGGACGACGAGAATGAAATACTGTACAAGCACAGATCTCAAAAAGCCCACTAGGTGTCAGACTCACACAGGAAGAGTTTAGAAAGGCTCATTTGGTTTGTGAAATAAACTGGTGGTGTAACGGTCACACCTAAACACACACAGAGCCTAGAAATATGCAGAGACAGACACTGTGATTGTGAATATAGGCTATTTCTATATTTCAAAATATATTTTGGGCCATTTGTGCTGTTTGTGTAGCCTACAATATTTAAGATGATTGTACTCTGCCGTTTAAAAGTTTGGGTCAGTAAGATGTTTAGCGATTTTTTTATAGCAGCAATTAACAGCCTGACATTAAATTGATCAAAAGTGACTTTTTATTAGTTCAAGAATCCTGAAAAAAGGGTTATGGTTTCCACAAAAATATGAAGCAGCATGAATCTGTTTTAAACAATGCCACAACAACAAGAAATATTATATTCACATTATTGACAACATTTACTGCCAGAAAAACATACTTACAGTGCACCTTTAAAAAAAACATTATTTTATAGTTTATTTCACATTGCCTATGCATAGGCCTAATTAAAAAAATGGCTAACAAATTTGGTTTGCAAAGAGTCCACTTTTTATCTAATGTGTTTTCCTAATAAAATAAATAATTGCTTAATCTATTGTATAGGCTACTTCACATAAAAGTCATTCTGCAAATAGAAAAGTGCATCAAATAAACAAATGTCTATCATGCTTGCATGCACATTTTCAAAACTGTTGAACTGTTGACAGGTAGAAATGTTCAGCGTAATTCTTTCCAAAACACGCTTCACTGGGTAGTATTGTAGGACATTTTGTTATTTGTTTCGCATTTTCAAAGCTTTGTCCCAAATAAAGAAGACCAAAAGATCGTGCTATAGGAAACAGACAGAACCAAGAGCGTTTATAATAACCTTGTGGCTACAATGACGTTATAAAACATCAACAGTGTGGGTTGATTATGACATCATATTAAAAAAAAACAAAAAAACGAGGGAAACTGCACCGGCGCGTGATCTCCGCGCGATGGCGCCTCACATGAATCAGGGACGCGCAGTCAGTCACATGACTCAGTCAAAATGGCGTCGGGGCAACAGTGGGTGTTGGTGGAGATGGTGCAAGCTTTCTACGAGGTAACTACAAACTTTCTGCTTTTATTATTTATTTTTTAATTTTCGTAAATATCGACAGACATTTAGCGTGTGTTCGGTTGAACAGCACCGGCCCATATGATTGTATTTGGCTATATTTCACACACATAATCTTCTTCAGTTTTGTAACTCCAGGAAGTGTTTAACAGTCACACAGGTGAGGCTCACTCATCCACACCTGAGTTTACTACAGTGACCCCGTCAGAAAGTTATTACCCCTACTGTTAATACACTAAAAGCATGACATTAATATGGACTCTCATAAAAATACACAAATAAGAAGCTTTCAGGATCGTTCTGTCATGTTTTGGTTGATTCCAAGTTATTGAAGTAGTGACAACAACTGTATTTTGGTGTAAATCGTGGTAAATGTTTTAATGGATTGTGTGCTGTTTATTCTGAATCTAGAACTCCATTTATTTCCCTTTTCTCTGTTGTCAAAGTGAGTGATTAACTGTGACCAAATCTGTATGATCAGTTTTTCTGTGAATGCTTTATATTGATTGTTTGAGAGCGTTTTATATGAGAACTAAAGCAATAATAAAAAAAACCCCTAAAAAATCTACATTCAGTAACTGTGGTATAATCACTGGATTGCGCAACTTACTGCAAATTATATAAAACATTCAGCTGCTGACAAGTTATGCTGTTATAAGACACACACTTATCTTTAGCATGTCTGATAAGGGGTGCTTCATCTGGAAAACATTGCATTTTAATTACGGTGTAAATTCATCTGATGAACATTAATATAGGATGTGCATCACAAGTGTCCATTCATCACCATTATACATGGCTTATGAATGTGTTCAGTCAGATGAGAAGGGATGCAGTTCGTTTCATAATAATGTTGATTTCTCCTCTAGGCACCAGCATATCATTTGATTTTAGAAGGTATTCTGATTTTATGGATTATCAGGCTGCTGTTTTCCAAAACATATAAACTTCAGGAGAGATCGGACCTCACAGAAAAGGTGAGAGATCCTTCATTCACACACTGGTGCAGTGTTAGCTGAAGGATGATTTCTGTTTTACTGTTGCTATTTTGGATTCAAGCAAACTTATTGTTCACCACCGTTCAAAAGTTTGTGGCCAGTATAATTTTTTTTTAAATGTTTTTGATTTTGAAAGTCTCTTCTGCTCACCAAGACTGCAATTATTTGTTTAAAAATACAGTAAAAACAGTAATATTGTGAAATATTATTACAATTTAAAACAGCTGTTTTCTATGTGAATATATAGTAAAGTGTAATTTATTCCTGATTAAAGCTGAGTTTTCAGCATCATTACTCCAGTGTCACATGATCCTTCAGAAATCACTCTGATATGATGAAACATTTCTGATTATTATCAGTGAAAACAGTTGAGCTAATTCATATTTCTGTGGAAATGTTTGAGGAGTTTTTGATGAATAGAAGGCCTTTACTGTCGCTTACTGTCAATTTAATGCATATTTATATTACTGACCCCAAACTTTTGTGTTTTACTAAAGAGTATGAAATATGATCTGATTCTGATATTTTGCTAATTTTATATCCATGTAAACTAGCAACAAACTGCCATGATCTATCAGACTTTTTTCAATAACCAGTAATAAAATGCTACACATTTATGTTCAAGTATTAATGTGAGTTGCTGTTAATACAGTTGCTGTTTGTTAACTATAATTTATTTTTATTCAATTAGTTGCCATTAAGCCAACAAAAATTTGTACAAGATCAAAACACAAAATGAGCCCTATTTGAACGGGACTAGTTTTTCAGGGGGAAGTTAGGAAAAATTAAATTTTCACTCCGTACTTTGTGATCTTAATCCCGTCCGAATCTGCCTAGTCTGTGTTTTTTTTCTCTCACACAACGTCAGTAGTAACTCAACGGTCCTCTAAGAAATCTAATCCCCACCGAATGTGAACGTCTGATGTTATATGATCCAAACGCTTCTCCTCATGTGTTTTTTAACCTATCCGAGCTACCGTTTGCTCTTAAGACAATTTAGAAATGTGCCAAATTAAATGACAGTATTGTAATACTGGTAATGGTAATTTGACCCAGTTACTTCAATACAGGAATTGTAGCTCGATTGCATAAGCGTTTGTGTGTGTCCCTTATTCGTGTGTTTCAGGAGAAAGAGGAGTTAATTGAGGAGTGGCAGCCTGAGCCGCTGGTGTCTCCCGTATCCAAAGATCACCCTTCCCTTCACTACGATGTGGTCACAGGGTACGTCTTGTGTGTGTGTGCGGTCAGCGAGACCAACGTGTCTCCCTCCATCACAGCTCTGTCGGCCCCCATATGGAATAATAATTACAGTGTAAATGATCCTGACTGAGGCCGTGTTTTTCTTTTACAGCCCTCCAAGCCACAAAATCATCGTAAATGGGAAAGAGTGCATTAACTTCGCCTCATTTAACTTCTTGGGTCTGCTGGACAACGAGCGTGTGAAGGTTTGCAGCAGCACAGACGCTAGCCCAAGTGCTTTTCCATTCTTCACATTTGCAGTCGGCGTAGCTGTTCCTGATTGTAGCGTGCAGTTTGATCGTTAATGCTAAACACGTCTTGATTGGGGAGGCGTAGTTTACATGGCACTTACACTTACTGTAAATAGCTTACGGCTCACCAAGGCTGCATTTATTTGATCAAAAATACAGTAGAAACAGTAATATTGTCAAAAATGATTACCATTTAATATAGCTGCTTCTATGTGAATATTTAGTGAAGTGTAATGTATTCCTGTGATCAAAGCTGAGTTTTCAGCATCATTACTCCAGTCTTCAGCGTCACATGATCCTCCAGAAATCACTCTGATATGATGAAACATTTCTGATTATCAATTTTGAAAACAGTTGTGAGAACAGCATGTATTTGTTCTATAAATCTTTTGTAATAATATAAATGTTTTTAATGTAATTTTTCATCAATTTAATGCATCCTTGCTATTATATTTGTTTTTGTCCTCTTTTTTTTTTTTTTTTTTTAGATCAAAACAATGAGAGATTTTGGTAAAGTTTCTATTTTTTAACAACATTTTGAATGTAATAATAACAGTTATCATTTAAGGACGTTGGTGTCGTCTCATCATCGTCTCGTTTTAGTCATGGAAAAAAAAAGGTCGTCGACTAACATTTTTCTACATACTTTTCTTTAACAAAATTAACACTAGTAAATGGGGCCAATTTTTTATTTATTTATTTAACTAGAGGAATTCATGTAAATAAAGTGGCCAGTGTGAAGATTTCGATATTCTTGGTCATTAGAGAACTCTGTTTGTGAAGAAAATCAGTAACGCTTCCTTTTACAGTACAGTACTTACGTGTACTTACAGTGTACTTGCCTAGAAAGTACTGGCTAATATAAGGTAAGTACATGGGTTAGGGGTAGGTTCAGGGTTAGTACCTAGTTATTACCCAGTAATTATAATTACTATAATAAGTACATAGTAAGTACATGGGTAACAGGACTGTAAAAGGAAGCGTTACCAGAAAGTCTTATCGTACTTCAACAAAAGCTTTAATCCACTGCGTCTCACAGTATCATTAATCTGTTTTCAGTTGAAGGCACTGACGTCACTAAAAAAATACGGCGTGGGAACGTGTGGACCGAGAGGATTCTATGGGACCTTCGGTGGGTGGATCTACACCTCAGCTTTCTGTCTGTCTGTCTGAGGACACTGTCAGTTTAAAGGATGTAAATGTTCTGCAGATGTTCATCTGGAGTTGGAAGAGCGCTTGGCAAAGTTCATGAGAACAGAGGAGGCCATCATCTACTCGTATGGCTTCGCCACCATCGCCAGTGCCATTCCAGCGTACTCCAAGAGAGGAGACATCATCTTTGTGTAAGTTCACATCCCCAGCTGAAACAGGAGCATCTTTAGAGACGATAAAGCGCATCCTGATCGGTGTGTGTGTCTCTGGTTCTCTCAGCGACGAGGCGGCGTGTTTCTCCATCCAGAAAGGCCTCCAGGCTTCACGCAGCTTCATCAAATACTTCAGACACAACGATATGGAGGACCTCGAGCGCCTTCTGAAGGAGCAAGAGATTGAAGATCAGAAGGTGAGGAGGGATTTGACCAGGTGACATGAAAAGAAATTTAAAAAATAAAGCATAAAATGCGGTTTGTAACCTATTTCCTGGTAAAACAGTATCAAATAATGTTGATTTTAAAGGTGCAGTAAGAGATTTCTGAGAAACATTTTTTTTTCAACACACACACACACACACACACACACATACACACAGAAGAGACGTCATGCAAATATTCACAAAATTGTTTAGGTGTTGATTTAAATGTTCAACAGCGTTTCTCCGAAATTACTGCAACTTTAAGGTAACACTTTATTTTACTGTATCCTTGTTACACACGTTACATTTACTTCCTATAGTATCCATTTATGATGCATCCCGATAAAGTTCCCTTTGCCTTTGGAATTAAAATAGCGCCACATCATCACACACCCTTCACCGCACCTAGAGATCGGCACAGGGTACCTTCCATAAGATCATCTCTCAATGCAAATCAAACCAACTATTAGGCTAACTGAAATAAAACCATGCCAATCTCTAGGAATGGTGAAGGGTGTCTGATGATGCGGGGCTATTTTATTTCCAAAGGCAAAGATAACTTTATCGGGATGCATAGTGTCCCGGATCCATGAAATAACTGGCCTTTAAAAATATAAATCTGCCCCTCTATGGGACTTTAACATAGGAGTGTCCTGTCTTATGCACCCTGTATGTTAAAGAAGAACATTTATTTATTTACGATACATTATTAATTCACAAATAAAATTGGTGTCTTTAAAGGTTGGATTTTTTCTGATTTTTTTTATTAAGGCATTAAGATCAATTTCCAAAAAGATGATTTTTTTAATTCCTCTTTTGAGTCAACTTTAGCATGGGTGTGTTCACTTACGCTAAAAGCACTGTATATACACTGTAATAAGGACACATTGAATTGATGTGTAACCGATTTTAACAATTGGGATTTGACTGGATAGTGAAAAGTTACATTATCGGTTAATATATTATTGCCCATGTGGCCTTTTTTTGTCAACAGAAATGTTTTTTGAAATAGAGATAATTTTCACTTTTTAAAAGAAAGGATAAAAAAATTAAAAAAATTCTTTAGTAGAACATGCACCGATGTATCAAGCGCAATACGATGTATTGTATGTACTACTATATATAGTAGTACATATATTCATTTATCCACCCTAACAACCACTCAACAGACCTTAGCAACAGTCTACATTCACTCAGAACATATACTGAAAGAGTATATCATATTTTGAATGCAGCAGCTGTTTGTTTGTTTGTTGTTTTGCTGTAGACATGCTAGTTCATTCATAGTTATGTTGTTTTTTATTTCAGAATCCACGTAAGGCGAGAGTAATCCGACGGTTCATTTTAGTCGAGGGTCTCTATATCAACACTGCAGATATCTGCCCACTGCCTGAACTGGTGAGATCACGTAGCCTGCAGCGCATTCAGAGAATAATTCAGCTTTTCCCCACACACAATTTTTCTCATTTCACCCTTATGATTTTTTTTTCACATCAATGACAAATAAACAGATTTGTGATAGAAAGATAAAACTGAAATATATCAAATGGGGTGCAGATTATTAAAAAGCATTCAAATAAAGCATTTCATCATAAGGCTGCAACATAAGAACTATTAAAAGAAAAAGGAAAGGATCTGATTACTCCTGAATGCTCTGTATACCTCTTCTAATACTGTTTATAACTTTTATGGGATTTGAACAAACACCTAACCATCAATATTACATTTCTGCATATCACACTGCTACTATTACATTGCACTGGTTGCATTTTTCCACACGAGCTGGTGTTTTTAATGGATGCATCTTCTTTTCCAGGTAAAACTGAAGTACAAATATAAAGTACGGATCTTTTTGGAGGAGAGCATGTCTTTCGGGGTGCTTGGAGAACATGGAAGAGGAGTCACAGAGCATTTTGGGGTCAACGTACGTAATGGCTAGAACAAACAGTACACTTCTCCATACCTGTCAACACTCCCGTTTTTCCCGGGTTTCTCCCGTTTTTTAGCCCTATCTCCCGGACCCCTCCCGGTTTGTTATTTTTCCCGGGAAACTCCCGTAATTTGCATGGCCCAAACTCCTTTATGAATAATCGGACCAATATGTTTGTCTAATGTTGACCAGTTGCCAGATTTTATTAAATGCATTATATTCACACAATCCACACACCATTTACAATTTCAACCCGTTTGTCACCTCAACCTGGCAACCTATAACCCAGTTGCGCAGTCGCGGAAAGTTTAACCCGAAAGCGAGCCGATAGACATGATGGCAGGTGAAGGTTGTGTCCCCGCAATGAAACTGAAGTACAGTTTGTAACGCGTTGCTTCAGGAAGATTAGGGATAGCTCACAACTGAAGTTATTGCATGCAGAGGCCAGACAGACACACGGAGGCGATTGGCATCTCACAACTCGCACTTTATTCCCAAATCGAACTCGTGTAGCCTAACTGTCTGTCACACGTTCTACCGTCCAAATCGTAACTTAATAAACAAAATCAGATAAAAATTAGCATCAAACTGAAATTACTCGCATACATGGGGTGTTCGCATAGACAGTAAAAGGGGTGTTCGAGGCGCACATACAATACAATACTGCCGACAGTTCAACAGGGAGCGCACAGCTCTTAAAGGGGCCACACCTTATTTCCAGTCGTTAGAAGTTGTACATTTACCCCAACAAACCCCCCGCGCCGGAGAAATCTCCCGGATTTTGAAAACCAAATGTTGACAGGTATCCACTTCTCTACAGTTCTAGGTGCTCATTTGAAAAATAAGGATGTGTGTTTTAATTTCAGATTGATGATATTGACCTCATAAGTGCCAACATGGAGAATGCGTTGGCATCCATCGGAGGTTTCTGCTGTGGACGGTCATTCGTGATTGATCATCAGGTATGACTACAAAATAACAACTGATCTGCACCATAAAACTTACTTTTTGGGACTTTATTGCAGGAATATTCAGCATAATGTCTATTGTTCCATTCAACTCAGAAAGTCAGACTTTTCAAGGTTGCGTCCCAAACGACTGATGCACGATGTACTTAAAGGGATAGTTTACCCAAAAATGAAAAGTAGCCCATGATTTACTCATCCTCAAGTCATCCTGGGTGTATATGACTTTCTTCTTTCAGACGAATACAATCAGAGTTATATTAAAAAATGTCCTGGCTCTTCCAAGCTTAAAATAAAAGTGCATCTGCCCATGATAAAAGTGCATCTATCCATGATTAAAGTGCATCTATCCATGATTAAAGTGCATCTATTCATGATAAAAGTGCATCTGCCCATGATAAAAGTGCATCTGCCCATGATAAAAGTGCATCTGTTCATGATAAAAGTGCATCTATCCATGATTAAAGTGCATCTATTCATGATTAAAGTGCATCTATTCATGATTAAAGTGCATCTATTCATGATAAAAGTGCATCTGCCCATGATAAAAGTGCATCTGTTCATGATAAAAGTGCATCTATCCATGATTAAAGTGCATCTATCCATGATTAAAGTGCATCTATTCATGATTAAAGTGCATCTATTCATGATAAAAGTGCATCTGTCCATGATAAAAGTGCATCTGTCCATGATAAAAGTGCATCTGACCATGATAAAAGTGCATCTATTCATGATAAAAGTGCATCTGTTCATGATTAAAGTGCATCTATCCATGATTAAAGTGCATCTATCCATGATTAAAGTGCATCTATCCATGATTAAAGTGCATCTATTCATGATTAAAGTGCATCTATTCATGATAAAAGTGCATCTGTCCATGATAAAAGTGCATCTGTCCATGATAAAAGTGCATCTGACCATGATAAAAGTGCATCTATTCATGATAAAAGTGCATCTGTCCATGATTAAAGTGCATCTATCCATGATTAAAGTGCATCTATCCATGATTAAAGTGCATCTATCCATGATTAAAGTGCATCTATTCATGATAAAAGTGCATCTGTCCATGATAAAAGTGCATCTGTCCATGATAAAAGTGCATCTGACCATGATAAAAGTGCATCTATTCATGATAAAAGTGCATCTGTCCATGATTAAAGTGCACTTTTATCATGGATAGATGCACTTTTATGGACTTCAAAACAGAAACGGCCATTCACTGCCATTTATAATGAATGAATGAATGAGGCATTTATATAGCTTGGAAGAGCCAGGACATTTTTTAATATAACTCCGATTGTATTCGTCTGAAAGGAGAAAGTCATATACACCCAGGATGGCTTGAGGGGGAAGAAATCATGGGGTGAGTTTAGCTTTTGGGTGAACTATCCCTTTAACCGTGTAGTGTGTGAATTTGTTTGGTTTTTTGTCATCTGTCAATCATAGTCTGTTACCCCTACCCGACGGTATTACACAGGAGTATTCCACATCCGACTTTGAATGAAAGGCTGAGGGCATAACACCTGGCTTCAGTCTAATGTCTGTTTACATCATCTCTGGCTCGCTGTCCATTTTTCCACACACAATCATTTTGACTTTGTGTGTATATCAGTGCATGGGAAATGTGTTTACAGCAAATACTGACAGCCGAAAAGAATCTGTATTTGAAAGCAAAGGCTTTTATTAGGCAACTGTGTGTTGCACACTCTTAGCTGTTTGGTGCTGCGAATCTAAAAGATTTGGCTTTCTGGTCATTGTTTGAATGATCAAAAGAGGCTTCTTTTGATGTATATTTCTGTACATATGGTTTTTATATTCTGAAGATAAAACTGTAATTATATGCACATGCTTTTTTAAATCTGGACGTACGTGTGGAATTATCCTCATGTGACCGAGTCTCTTTGATATGTGATCCAGATCCTTATGAGATGGGAGTTTCTAACACGGTTTCTTTAAAGTTTCTATGGTGGATAATTGACAGAAATCAATCTTTTGCTATGACATAATTCCACTTGAGTTACCATATGATGCATTTTGCCATCCTCTATATTTATGAGGTTTGATTTTACTGTCATACAGTCGTTTATTCTTTTCCTTGCCTATTTGACTGTCAAATAACATGGCTTGTGAATCACATGGATCGTATCAGATTCGTTCTTCCCTTTAATGATGTGAGGGAAGTGAATCCACACGCTCCACTGAAATGCATATGGAGCATCAACAATCTGGGCTGTTTGCAGATTTCCGTACACTTTCACTGCCCAGTTACTTTGAAAAAAATGCCCCTCGAGACTCAAAACCCAATAACTCAGTGTGATAACCTGTGGCTCGATGTGAAGATCAAGCGTTTATTTATAGTCCACTTTGGTGAAGATTTGACAATATGTATTAAATATACAAACATTTATAATGTTAAAAATGGCAGACAAGTAAACCGATGGGGCAGTATTGATTTTGTTCCCTAAAGGGATAGGAAAGAGTTCAGTGGGGGAAAAAACTGAATTATTAAAAGCATATTTATCAAGTTTTGGTTCCAAAGATGCTTAAGTTTCAAAGTGTGGCAAATATCCAGCAGTTTCAATCTTATTCAAATGGACCAATAATATTGGCGACCTTGATAAATGTGGTATTGCTGGATTCTGCAGGGATGGTTAAAAGCATATTTATAATTGTAAAGTTATAAGTATATTAATGATTAATAATAACCACCAGTTGCCACTGTCTCCACTGTCCACATCTAAGTTTTGTTTAAATGCGATGACTTTTTTTGTAATGGTCGCGAAAATCACGATGGACCCTTCATTGCTTGGCTTCTAATAAAGATTTCCCCACCATTATTATACTCTAAATTGAATATGAATATTTTCTGTTGTGAATTGATTATGAATGTGTGTTGTCAGCGTCTGTCAGGCCAGGGTTACTGTTTCTCCGCGTCTCTTCCACCCATGCTGGCCGCCGCTGCTATCGAAGGCCTGAACATCATGGAGGAAGATCCAGGTAACATTTACTTAGACTAAAGCATGCATTTTATCTTCTCTAGCCATTTACTGTATCATTTTTTTGCTAGATGATTGGGAACATACTTTTAGATATACCTCTATATACAGTGGTGCCCAAAATGATTAGAACGGTAAGATTTTTAATGGTTAAAAGAAGTCTCTTCTGCTCACCAAGGCTTCGTTTATTTGAGCAAAAATAAAGCATAAACAGTAATATTGTGAAATATTTTTACAATTTAAAATAACAGTTTTCTATGTGAATATATGGTAATGTGATCAAAGCTAAATGTTCAGCATCATTACTCCAGTCTTCAGTGTCACATGATCCTTTAGAAATCAGTCTAATATGATGAAACATTTCTCATTATTATGAATGTTGAAAACTGTTGTGTACAAATTTTCAGATTATTTGATGAATAGAAAGTTCAAAAGAACAGCATTTATCTGAAATGGAAAGCTTTTGTAACATTAAACACCATTCAAAAGTTTGGGGTCAGTAAGAGTTTTTTTTTTTTTGCAAAGAAATGAAATAAATATTAATTTTATTCAGCAAGGAATAATGCATTAAATTGATCAAAAGTGACAGTATAGACATTTATTATGTTGCAAAAGCTTTCTATTTCAGGTAAATGCTGTTCTTTTGAACTTTATTCATCAAAGAATCTTGAAAAGAAATTGTTTTGTAATAATAATAATAAATGTTTCTTGAGCAGCAAATCATATTAGACTGATTTCTGAAGGATCATGTGACGCTGAAGACTGGAGTAATGATGCTGAAAAATCTGCTTTGATCACAGGGAATAAATTACACTTTAAAATATATTCAAATAGAAAATAAATTATAAAAATATTTCACAATATTTCAGTTTTTGCTGTACTTTGGATCAAATAAACGAAGCCTTGGTGAGCAGAAGAGACTTCTTTTAAAACATAAAAAAATTCTTACCGTTCTAATAATTTTGGCCACCACAGTATATATACACACACACACCTGAATTACGATTTTTCATCGTCCTTTATATAACATGACTAAGCATTTCTTTCTTTCTTTCTTTCTTTCTTTTTTTTAACTTTTAACTATGTTTTAGTTGACTGATTTGGCCTGGCTTTAAAGAGACCCTCTGATAATCAGCTGATCTAAACCATATGCAGCGACGCTAAGACATCATTTTTAGCTGTATTTGCTTGGCCAACACAATTACTCACATTTAGTTAAGGCACTTGAATAAAACTCTTAAGTACGATCAGACTTTTGCTTGGCGGACTTTAAAAGGGCTGAAAATCCCATAGACTTACATTGACGAGGGAACCATGCCATATCGAAACACCAGATTATCCCCAGCTCTTTTTGACTTGGTCCAGAAGTAACCGTATAGAAACAGTCTTAAGGGCAAGCGATACTTCAGAATGAACTGGTGTGACAAGATCAGGCAAAAATGAAGTTCATTTGGAGTTTGAAACCGTTTTCAAAAGTGAACTTCCCAGGAAAGTTCACTCGGGCAGGCAAACACCTTCGAGCTGCCATTGGTCTGTGGCGATGATGTAATAGGTGGGTGTGTGTCTGAGCCCATCACTAGTATTTCTAGTGTTGATCGGTGAGTGTTCGGGCAGGTGTGTGTCTCTGAGCCCATCAGTGGTGTTTCTAGTGTTGATCGGTGAGTGTTTGGGCAGGTGTGTGTGTCTCTGAGGCCATCAGTGGTGTTTCTAGTGTTGATCGGTGAGTGTTAGGGCAGGTGTGTGTCTCTGAGTCCATCAGTGGTGTTTCTAAAGTTGATCGGTGAGTGTTAGGGCAGGTGTGTGTCTCTGAGTCCATCAGTGGTGTTTCTAGTGTTGATCAGTGAGTGTTAGGGCAGGTGTGTGTCTGAGCCCATCACTAGTATTTCTAGTGTTGATCGGTGAGTGTTCGGGCAGGTGTGTGTCTCTGAGCCCATCAGTGGTGTTTCTAGTGTTGATCAGTGAGTGTTAGGGCAGGTGTGTGTCTCTGAGCCCATCAGTGGTGTTTCTAGTGTTGATCGGTGAGTGTTCGGGCAGGTGTGTGTCTCTGAGTCCATCAGTGGTGTTTCTAGTGTTGATCGGTGAGTGTTCGGGCAGGTGTGTCTCTGAGTCCATCAGTGGTGTTTCTAGTGTTGATCGGTGAGTGTTAGGGCAGGTGTGTGTCTGAGCCCATCAGTGGTGTTTCTAGTGTTGATCGGTGAGTGTTAGGGCAGGTGTGTGTGTCTGAGCCCATCAGTGGTGTTTCTAGTGTTGATCAGTGAGTGTTCGGGCAGGTGTGTGTCTCTGAGCCCATCAGTGGTGTTTCTAGTGTTGATCAGTGAGTGTTAGGGCAGGTGTGTGTCTCTGAGCCCATCAGTGGTGTTTCTAGTGTTGATCGGTGAGTGTTCGGGCAGGTGTGTGTGTCTCTGAGCCCATCAGTGGTGTTTCTAGTGTTGATCAGTGAGTGTTAGGGCAGGTGTGTGTCTCTGAGTCCATCAGTGGTGTTTCTAGTGTTGATCGGTGAGTGTTAGGGCAGGTGTGTGTCTGAGCCCATCAGTGGTGTTTCTAGTGTTGATCGGTGAGTGTTAGGGCAGGTGTGTGTGTCTGAGCCCATCAGTGGTGTTTCTAGTGTTGATCAGTGAGTGTTAGGGCAGGTGTGTGTGTCTCTGAGCCCATCAGTGGTGTTTCTAGTGTTGATCGGTGAGTGTTCGGGCAGGTGTGTGTGTCTGAGCCCATCAGTGGTGTTTCTAGTGTTGATCGGTGAGTGTTAGGGCAGGTGTGTGTGTCTCTGAGTCCATCAGTGGTGTTTCTAGTGTTGATCGGTGAGTGTTAGGGCAGGTGTGTGTGTCTCTGAGTCCATCAGTGGTGTTTCTAGTGTTGATCAGTGAGTGTTCGGGCAGGTGTGTGTCTCTGAGCCCATCAGTGGTGTTTCTAGTGTTGATCAGTGAGTGTTAGGGCAGGTGTGTGTGTCTCTGAGCCCATCAGTGGTGTTTCTAGTGTTGATCGGTGAGTGTTCGGGCAGGTGTGTGTGTCTGAGCCCATCAGTGGTGTTTCTAGTGTTGATCGGTGAGTGTTAGGGCAGGTGTGTGTGTCTCTGAGTCCATCAGTGGTGTTTCTAGTGTTGATCGGTGAGTGTTTGGGCAGGTGTGTGTCTCTGAGCCCATCAGTGGTGTTTCTAGTGTTGATCGGTGAGTGTTAGGGCAGGTGTGTGTCTCTGAGCCCATCAGTGGTGTTTCTAGAGTTGATCAGTGAGTGTTAGGGCAGGTGTGTGTCTCTGAGTCCATCAGTGGTGTTTCTAGTGTTGATCAGTGAGTGTTAGGGCAGGTGTGTGTGTCTGAGCCCATCAGTGGTGTTTCTAGTGTTGATCGGTGAGTGTTCGGGCAGGTGTGTGTGTCTCTGAGTCCATCAGTGGTGTTTCTAGTGTTGATCAGTGAGTGTTAGGGCAGGTGTGTGTGTCTCTGAGCCCATCAGTGGTGTTTCTAGTGTTGATCGGTGAGTGTTAGGGCAGGTGTGTGTCTCTGAGCCCATCAGTGGTGTTTCTAGTGTTGATCAGTGAGTGTTCGGGCAGGTGTGTGTGTCTCTGAGTCCATCAGTGGTGTTTCTAGTGTTGATCAGTGAGTGTTAGGGCAGGTGTGTGTGTCTCTGAGTCCATCAGTGGTGTTTCTAGTGTTGATCAGTGAGTGTTAGGGCAGGTGTGTGTGTCTCTGAGCCCATCAGTGGTGTTTCTAGTGTTGATCGGTGAGTGTTAGGGCAGGTGTGTGTCTCTGAGCCCATCAGTGGTGTTTCTAGTGTTGATCATTGAGTGTTAGGGCAGGTGTGTGTGTCTGAGCCCATCAGTGGTGTTTCTAGTGTTGATCGGTGAGTGTTCGGGCAGGTGTGTGTGTCTCTGAGTCCATCAGTGGTGTTTCTAGTGTTGATCGGTGAGTGTTAGGGCAGGTGTGTGTCTCTGAGCCCATCAGTGGTGTTTCTAGTGTTGATCGGTGAGTGTTAGGGCAGGTGTGTGTGTCTCTGAGTCCATCAGTGGTGTTTCTAGTGTTGATCAGTGAGTGTTGGGGCAGGTGTGTGTGTCTGAGCCCATCAGTGGTGTTTCTAGTGTTGTCCGGTGAGTGTTCGGGCAGGTGTGTGTCTCTGAGTCCATCAGTGGTGTTTCTAGTGTTGATCGGTGAGTGTTAGGGCAGGTGTGTGTGTCTCTGAGCCCATCAGTGGTGTTAGAGTTGATCAGTGAGTGTTTGGGCAGGTGTGTGTCTCTGAGTCCATCAGTGGTGTTTCTAGTGTTGATCAGTGAGTGTTAGGGCAGGTGTGTGTGTCTCTGAGCCCATCAGTGGTGTTTCTAGTGTTGATCAGTGAGTGTTTGGGCAGGTGTGTGTGTCTGAGCCCATCAGTGGTGTTTCTAGTGTTGATCGGTGAGTGTTAGGGCAGGTGTGTGTCTCTGAGTCCATCAGTGGTGTTTCTAGTGTTGATCAGTGAGTGTTTGGGCAGGTGTGTGTGTCTGAGCCCATCAGTGGTGTTTCTAGTGTTGATCGGTGAGTGTTAGGGCAGGTGTGTGTCTCTGAGTCCATCAGTGGTGTTTCTAGAGTTGATCGGTGAGTGTTCGGGCAGGTGTGTGTGTCTCTGAGCCCATCAGTGGTGTTTCTAGTGTTGATCAGTGAGTGTTCGGGCAGGTGTGTGTCTCTGAGCCCATCAGTGGTGTTTCTAGAGTTGATCGGTGAGTGTTCGGGCAGGTGTGTGTCTCTGAGCCCATCAGTGGTGTTTCTAGAGTTGATCGGTGAGTGTTCGGGCAGGTGTGTGTCTCTGAGCCCATCAGTGGTGTTTCTAGTGTTGATCAGTGAGTGTTAGGGCAGGTGTGTGTCTCTGAGCCCATCAGTGGTGTTTCTAGTGTTGATCGGTGAGTGTTTGGGCAGGTGTGTGTCTCTGAGCCCATCAGTGGTGTTTCCAGTGTTGATCGGTGAGTGTTAGGGCAGGTGTGTGTCTCTGAGCCCATCAGTGGTGTTTCTAGAGTTGATCGGTGAGTGTTCGGGCAGGTGT